CCCCCCCCCCCCACCGGCCACACTGGGAATTCAGGCCACACAAATAATTTTTGTCACTTAGACAACTAAAGCCCCATAAATAATTATCATCACTTAGACGACCCAACCCCCATAACCAATTCCCATCATGTCAACGTCCATCATTTAGAAACCTGTACCAGATAACCTATAGATCTTGTCACGAAAACGCCCCGTCACTTAAGACGATTCAACCACATAACCAAATTTCCGTCACGTAGACAACTCAAAAATCAAGCACTTAATTCCTATCACGAAGATGACTCATATCCAACAATTATTTTCAATAATGTTTATTTCATAGCAACACTACAACAAATTTATTTTTTAGCAACGAGTTTTGGCGGCGAACAATAAAATTTGTTGAAAAAAAGTGATTTTCGGCAACAATTTCAAATGATTGTCGCGGTAAAATTTTTTATGATATTTTTTGTGACCATTTTTTATAATCGTTGTTAATAGTCTTCGCAAAAACGTTCCCTCCAAAAAACAATTGGCGCCAACGTTAGCGCTAAATGATAATTTTATGGGCGACAAACAAAATTGTCGCCAAAATACTTTATTGGTCGCAAAATTTTTGTCAAATTTATGAAAAAATAAAGAAAAAAAATGATACTTAGCGACAATACATGTTTGTCGCAGAAAAAAAAAGTTGGCGACCATTTTTTATACTCATTGTCAATTGTTTTCGCAAAAACATTCCCTCCAAAAAAAATGATAATTTTATGGGTGACAAAAAAAATTGTCTCCAAAATACTTTATTGATCGCAAAATTTTTGTCAAATTTATGAAAAAAAAAAATTAAAAAAAATGATACTTAGCGACAATACATGTTTGTCACAGAAAAAAATAGTTAGCGACCATTTTTTATAGTCGTTGTCAATAGTCTTCGCAAAAACGTTCCCTCCAAAAAATAATTGGCGCCAACGTTGGCGCTAAATGATAATTTTATGGACGACAAAAAAAATTGTGGCCAAAATAATATTTTGATCGCAAAATTTTTGTCAAATTTATAAAAAAAAAATTAATAATAATAATAATAATAATATTTGGTGACAATACATGTTTGTCGCAGAAAAAAAAAAGTTGGCAACCATTTTTTATAGTTATTGCCAATAGTCTTCGCAAAAATGTTCTCTCCAAAAAAATTTGGCACTAATGTTGGCGCTAAATGATAATTTTATGGTTCTTGCTCGCAAAGTTTTTGTCAAATTTACGGAAAAAAATAATACTCAGTAACAATACATGTTTGTCGGAGAAAAAAAAAATTAAAATTAATTTTGTTTGACGACAAATGATATTTGGTCGCAAAATATGTTAAATCAAATGTGCACTCTGATGGATTAAAACAAAGTTGTTTTGATATTAAAAGATTTTGAGAATTACACCCAGACTCCTTGAGATTTGTCACTTAATTACTCAGACCCCTTGACATTTGAAATATTATACACAGACTCTTTGAAGTTTGTACGCGCGTAATACTTAGACCACTGTTATAAATATATTCGTTAATAAATTACACCTAGATCCTCCAAAAGTTTGTAGACATATAATACTTAGACCCCTTAAATTTAAAATATTATACTTAAACTACAAATACTCCACTCAAAGATAGAATATTAAATATTTTAAATTTTACAACCAAAATTCATGTTCTATTGTATCATTTACTGAAATAAAATTAAAAATAAAAATTCAATTTTTTTTAAAAAAAATAGTAATTAGTATAAAATTATAATATCTATTAGAATAAAATTAAAAAATCAGACAAGGGGTCTAAGTCATTTATAATAGAACATGAATTTTGATTGTAAAATTCATGTTCTATTATGTCATTTATTGAAATAAAATTAAAAATAAAAATCTAGTTTTTTTTTTCAAAAAAATTATAGTTAGCATACAATTATACTATCTGATGAGTCCAAATCCAACCGGACCAAGCCCAATATATCAAGTTAGCCCAAATCAGCTACAAGGCAACCCAAGCCCGGTTCACTAGTCCGACCCAATCCAAGATCCAATGAGTCCATGAAAGAATGAGCACATCCATCGCTGTCATTTCCCGAGGGTAGAGTAGGTAACCCGAATCTAAGCCACTATATTTACGTGTGTTAACCAAATTTTACTATTTTGTCATTGATTACTTTATTAACTGTCTTATTTATTATGTCACATCACGCACTCGAATGTTGATCTTGGACAAGACTATTTTGTGCATTATCATTATCTATTAGAATAAAGCCCCCCCGGCCACCGCTGTAGTTTTTCGAGAGTGGAGTAAGTCACCCGGACTGAGCCACTATATATATGTGCGTTGATCAAATATTTACTATTTTGTCATTGATTATTTTATTAATTGTATTATTTATTATACCACATCATACACTCGACTATTGATCTTACACGAGGCTATTTTGTGCATCATCACTATCTATTAGAATAAAACTAAAAAATTAAACAAAAGGTTAAACTGTAATGGATACAATATGTTTTAGTTTAAATGACTAAATTAAATTCCAATAGACAATATAATTATATATTAATTATAATTTTTTAATAAAAATTAATTTTTTATTTTTGTTTTTATTTCAATAATTGATACAATAAAACATGAATTTTAATTATAAAATTTAAAATATTTGATATTCTATCCTTGATTGGAATATTTTTGATCTCAATATAATGTTTTAAACTTAAGGGTGTGATACAATAAAACATGAATTTTAATTATAAAATTTAAAATATTTGATATTCTATCCTTGATTGAAATATTTTTGATCTCAATATAATGTTTTAAACTTAAGGGTGTGATACAATAAAACATGAATTTTAATTATAAAATTTAAAATATTTGATATTCTATCCTTGATTGAAATATTTTTGATCTCAATATAATGTTTTAAACTTAAGGGTGTGATACAATAAAACATGAATTTTAATTATAAAATTTAAAATATTTGATATTCTATCCTTGATTGAAATATTTTTGATCTCAATATAATGTTTTAAACTTAAGGGTGTGATACAATAAAACATGAATTTTAATTATAAAATTTAAAATATTTGATATTCTATCCTTGATTGAAATATTTTTGATCTCAATATAATGTTTTAAACTTAAGGGTGTAAGAAATATATATTTACAAACTTTAGGGTATTTGAGTATAATTTATTAATAGATATATTTACAAGAGGGGCCTAAGTGTTACATGCATATAAACTTTAAGAGGTTTGTGTGTAATATTTTTAATATCAGGGGATCTGAGTGATTAAGTGACAAATCTTAAGGGACCTAAATATAATTCTCCCTAAAATATTA